CGTAATATAATACATAACCCGCATATTCCTCAAAATGACTTCTCGATTGCTACTAAACCTGAATTAAAATACAAGTATCTGCTGCTTAGTGGGGCGCCAGCAGGTTAACTCGCTCCTTGGCTCAAGAAGCGCTTGCTTAATATCCGTAATTTTCCTGCAGCCTGTGTTGCTGACCGAGCAGACGACTGGAGCTGTTTTTTAAACACGGATACGCACAAAAAGTTCGATTTCGTGGAAAGATAAGTCGCATGGTCGAGGCATGCGAGTTAGCTGAAACAAATCTGTAGTCATCGCCGCTCTCCTTAGCTTATTAAAACTGATTAGAGTCTAGAACCGTCTCTTCGGACCCAATAGTTTTGGTTTTGAACAAAATCACAGAAACAAAAGTTTCACGTGAAAAGAACAAAAATCTCCGGGAAAACAAAACTTTGCTCTGCAAGTATATGTGCACCGGCTACACTCAACCGTCGCAGTTCAAATACCTATAAAATATGCCAATAAACAAAAGAAAATCTGTTAAGTTGAAAGCGCCCCCCCGTTCAGGCGGCCAGGCCGAGCCGACGTGACCAGTTCCCAGCCGCCGTGTTTGTTTGGTGGGGGCGCTCCCTATAGGTCACTGGAGTCGCGAATACCTTACATATAATATATATTTGTGCTGTTTCCTCCACACTTTTATAAATTACTGTAGGTGTGAATAAATAAGTGAATTGTATAATAGTAACTTAACAGTCTTGATGTTATCTTTCCAAACCTGTTTAGAATACACATTGCTTTCTTTATGAAGCATCTCAGTTTCTTAGTATGTTGAATTCAACTGTGTTTTAGCATGCTTAATGTTTAACGATTCAAAATAGATATCTAGGTTGTACAAAGTAGGTTTTTGTTTGGCTTGGACAGTACACCCTTTGATTTATTAGTGTTTAGATGAAGTTGATTGCATTTTAACAACTTAGATAAATCCCAGTGCCACAAATTTGAAGTTTGTTCGAAATAAACTCGGCCTTTAACAGGAAAAAAAAAATACGCTTGTATCCTTAGCATCTAAAATTATGTGTCGCTTTTCAGGTATGCTTGATAATTTATATATAAAATAAATAACAAAGGCCGTGTGTGTATAGAACCGTGTGAAACACCATATATTATTGACGCGTGTTCTGATTTAAATCTACTGGAAACTTGAGGAGATGTAGCTGCGAATTATTTCTAGTGCGTTGCCCTTGATTCGGTACAAAGTAAAATTTTGTCATATTTCAAGCTTCTAGAGTCAAACGCATTTCTAAACTTTAGAAATATAGCAATTGTGTAGGTCAAGTTTTCAATGTTCGGTATTATCTTATTTTTAATGTACAGAAAGACTGACTAGGTTGATTTATTCTTTTGAAAACTAAAGTGGTGCTTGGTTTAATTTGATTAATTGTAAGATATAAGTAAAGTGTTTAAAAAATTTTTTCTCTACTAATTTAAAAAAAAGGGGGCAATGCAGGTATTGGTCCCTCGTTACAGAAATTCTCCCATGTTGAAAACGCAAACTTGAGCAATTTTTTTATCTGAGAGAATACCACAAATAATTATTCGATTGCAAGTTTGAACAATAGGAGATATATATTAGTCCATTATTATTTAACTCGAAATAACTTTAACATCGCCATCGCCACATGCACATTTATATTGAAAGGACACCATTATACTACGTATTTCACCGTCTGCGTAATGACACAACCACGAGGAAGGTAGAGCTTTCCAATTTTATGTAGGACAATTTTAAGACGAAGAGGTTCTAATATATGCATTTGAGAAACACCTGATTGATTGGAAGAAAAGCGTCGTCAATTACCTTTTTGTTTTACCTTATCGCTATACTCAAAAGACGATACACTCTACAAACATGACGTTGTTCTAGGTTTTACAAAATTGTTCCTAAAAAAACTGTGAAAGCTGCGCTAATGCCGTCTGCGCGGATGAGTCATACAGCCAGGTGGCCATAATATAGAGGGACAATAGACACGATAACTCTGTGACCATGGCTAAACCATGTCAAATAATGAAGTAAACATGTTAATTGGTATTAATTAGTAAAATAAACATGGTTTCAATTAGAAACTTAATTAGCATAATCAAAACCTACGTGGAAAGCCCGTGGGGAGCCTTGTAAGGCTCGCTATATGAAAAGCCCGCAAGATGCGAACTGGATAAATAGGGTGCGCGTTGAATTTATATGCATCTTCAGCATCCAAAAGAGCAAAACACGCGCATCAAGTTTTTTTCAAAGATTGATTGATTTAGTTGTGTTCACTGGCGCGCATCAGGTTTTGTTTTGAAAAGATGTAGTTCTTCACTAATTAAAAAACTGTTATTAGGTTTTTGTTTAGCAATAACCTTATCGTGACAATTAGTTCCTACATTATGCCCCTGAGGCCGTATTACTCACCACTAAAGACCGTACACTCTGTGTCTTTTACTGTGTTATACAAATAAATCTAGTTCGAGGGTTTGACTTCCTTTGCCGCGAGCTGATGTCAGGGCTCGGCTTCGCGCTGCCGTGTTCTAATTGTTCTGTTTTTCACCCGCTCCGTACTGCGTCTCGCATTGCACGATGATACAAGAATGTCGCATTTAAGCTGCATTGCATATTGGATCTTCAAGCAACCGCGTTCTCAACCGCTTTGCGAACTCGGGTCAACCTCTAGTCTGAATACGGCGCTACACCGCAGCCGCAGAAAATGGTACCCCCAAGTAAGACATTCACGGAGCGCTTACGTGCTTACTTTGCACGACGCAGGGCTGCTTCGTGCCAACCAGTCTGCACATGTCTACATCGTTTTTCGACACTAATACATTCTGTGTTACCACTGCATATGCCACGCTAGTAGGGCAAAGGGGCAAGTTTTATTTCTTTCAGAGCGTCTTGCGACTCCTTCAGTTTTATTAAAAAGCAAGCAAATTATTTTTAATTAATGGACCCAAGTTTTGTGTGTGAATGTTTCTAGGTAGATAAAAATTAAATTTAAGCTATATTTACACCCTAAGACATAATTTAGAAGGGGGGGGGGGGGGTAGCCCAGGGTCCGCCCACAACGAAAGGCGCTTTAGCACCAGTTTTCGGCAGTCCTTGTTTGTAGGGATGATTGAGGTGTAAAATCTTCGTTTTAAAATTGTTTCTCTATTATTTTTACGTTTACAAAATAAGTAATATAAACCGAGTCATTATTGTGGTAAAGAAAATATCCTGAGATTGCCTTTTCCGGTTCCGTTTTCAACGAAAACCAACATGGCTGCCGGCGTTTGCGGAGTGCTCAACGGCGGCAGCTTGATGAGTTCGTTCATTTTTATGAGTGTGAGTTGGTCTGCCTTGACCGAAGTGTTTAGTTGAACACAATCTTAACCCACCGGGTTTGTAGCAAACAACTGTGTCATGTACGCGCCTTCGGATGCTCTTTGCGGATGCTTGGTTTCGTCGCGGGACTGGCCTAAGCCTAGCGTCCCACATCATGTATGTTGCTTGACCTGGCTTCATTTGTGTGTTTGCGCGTGCTGCTGCTGAATAAGGATGTTGATTCCGGTAAAAGTGGCTCTCCGAATTGTGCAACCGTCGTGATTGCAACCATGGTTTCAATACCAAGATGCCTACATGGGTAAGAATTCGCGAGCCATTTGGCTGGAGGCAATCTGGTATTTGGCTTGTCCTGGTACACGGTCCAGCCATTTCGCTCCGAAAGAAAAGTAGCTCTCAAATTTGTAAGAGCACCTGACCTACTAAAGGGAATATTTTCAGGTCGCGTTTTCGATTGTGCATCATTATGCTCACCCATCTTACTCGCGGATGCCATGCAATAATTAATTAATAAATAATAATAATAATAATAATAATAATACATTTATTCACACATGTAGAATCAACAATGGAATTACGGGTCCGGTCAAAGCCAGCATGGGCTTGTGGGACCAGGCCCTGCAGTAAAAGAATTCGGAAGTGCACATTGTGCACTTCCGAATAATAATAATAATAATAATAATTAATAATGAATTATATAAATAAACAAAAATAAAAGAAAGAAAGAAGGAAAGGAAGGAGAACAGAAAAGTTAAAATAGCTGCATACTTATTTTGTTGATTTTTTTCAGTCCTCTCAGTTGCCTTTTACCGCACACCGAAGTAGGCTGAGAGACGCTTGTATTGAACCGTGGCTCGTGCATGATAAAGCGCTAGAACGTCGCTTTCATGGTCGCATCTTGCGAACGTTGCAGAAGTTTTTGTAGACGCGGGCGGAATAGCGGACGGACAAAGGAGAAAAAGGACGCCGACGCGCAGCTTTCATGTCCGCGCTTAGACGATGGTTGACGGTGGTGGAATAGCAGACGGTGCCGGAGGCTGCCGCGCGTCTGCTCGCACAACTAGTAGGCGGTGTCAGACGCCAGACAAGGCGCGCCTGATCTCGCGAAAGGGAAACATTAGGCTTACGAGCGTGTACGGCCGAACAGTCAAGCCAATGTACTAGTGGTGGGCGGAGCCACAGATCTGTGGGCGGGGCTTAGAGCGGGTCGTGACCTCCTCCTAAATTGCGTCTAACGTCGTAAATATTGCGCGAACATTTTTTTTGTCATGCCACAAAAGAAGTTACGTGTCGCACCTTAGCCCTTAAGAAAAAGTCACTTTTTTTTCTTTTTAGTTTTAGTGTTTCCAAAGAGTCAATTGTGTTAATTCAGTTGCTCCGAGTAAGGGCACCCATGGCAAGGTGATTGTTCCTTGCAGGGGTCATTGCATTGCAGATGTCACCGCTTTTACCATCGGAACAATAAGCGAACATCTGTGAGAATTGTTATTGCAAGATAACTGGACGTGTATTTGTTCACATAAATGTTCATATAAATAAGGGCAATGTGAAACTTTTGCAGGCAGAAGCTGGCTAGACTTTATTCTTTAACACGTAGAAGTGTTAAGGATCAACTCTGCTCACACGGCACTCATTTACCTTAAAATTTGATTTTTTGCGACAAGAAATTATGCTGGCGGCGACATTTGTCGGTGTAATCGTTGCTTGCTTTGGTAAGCCCTTGAATCTTGTATTCGAATGCTTCACGTGTTTAAATACAAGGGAGGAGTTTTTTAAACTTTACAGGCTTGTTTTAAACCAGCAATGAAAGCTTCACTAATGCGGTGTGTGCAGGTGAGTTACACAGTCAGGGGTCTTAATATAGGGGGCTAATTGCTACAAAAAGTAGAATAGTTTACTAAAGATTGTTAATTAATATGTTTAGTGAGTAATAATAAACAAAATTTTATTTAGAAACTTGTGCGTCATTGAAAATACAAAATAAGTAAATCTTGGAAAGATATGGGACACGTGGGAGGTGCGGTAGTTCGGTAAAGCCACCACACATGCAACAGGCGGAATGCAGGCACAGAGAAAACGCTGAAGAGATGAGAAAACCGGCACGGCCGCGGTTTCGCCCCATTTCCCTTGCACATCTTGCACGACTGGTAACTTCAAAGTGCCACCACGCTTCTCCCGTGACCCAAAATCTTTCTAAGATATAATTATTTTTTTTTGTCATTATACTTAGGAAGTTTCGATTTAGTACCATAATCCTATGTTCAATCATTAAAAAAAAGTAATTAACCGAATTTGGTCAAATATGTGACTTATGGTGACGATTATTCTTCGATATTATGTCCCCATCGGCACATACCGCATTAGTGTAGCTTTATGGTTTAAAAATATCAAACCTTGTTATAAATATAATCATTATTGTTTCTTCACATAGCAGGTGAAATAGCGTGCAATGAATTGAAACAATTGGGCCAGTATATACAAGGCTGCAACGACAATGAGTTCCACGAAGTAAGTGAATTAAGATTGCTTATAAACGATTGCCAATTAGCTAATTTCTTCTTTAAATGAATTCTTTATTACTTAGACTGCGCAACGTTGGTATCAAGTTAATGAGTGTCAGCTCGTTTTGTCACGTTTTGTTTGCATAGAAATTAATGTTAATAGGATTCGCCACCCTTAATAGTGTAGCAATCTGAAACAGACAGTATCACGCGAATAGTCTAATGACTGCATTTTAGATAAAAGTCTACATAGAAATTAATTGCCGTGTTTATATTTAATAAATGAATCGATCTGGGTGTACATCATAAATGAGGCGCAATGCAAATGTTTACCGTTTTTAAATTTGAACTGACTGGAAACACCTTACACTAAAAAACAAATGGGCCAATCATGTGATAGCTCTGATCCTTCTGCCATATTGCATTCTTTTCATTTGCAACAATTTTTTTTCGGAGTCAATAGACATTCTTGAGATTAGTAAAGTTATTTCTGTCGTCCTTTTGTTTGCTTCCTATGAGAATTAATGCGTCAAATAGCATCAGACGATTTAAATAAACAGGTACACACCAAGTGCTCGCTCGGTACGTCTGTGTTCTACTTTTAAGTTGTTTGGACGCCTTAATTTCTGCAGTATGCAATACCAACTAGTTCAAACGCGCGATGTTCTATAATTATATTATACATTATTTACATTAAATAATGCGAGTATCCAGCTAACGTTAACATTTTTTTCAATGAATCCTTTTAAACATACCTAGATCCACATCGGGCTCAAGTACTTGATTTCTCGTTATCAGCAGGACATCAGTAACAATCATGCAAAAATGCAGGTTTAATTTTTACACAAGGTGTTGAGCATTAAAGAAAACGCGTAATTTCCGCTATGGCATTAAACATTAATACCTAAATACTATCAGTCATTTTTTTTCTGGCTATAGAGCAGTAACGCGTCTATTAATATTTATCTAATTCTCATATCAATTGTACGCTAATATAGCTTTGTTTCATAGCGCAGTCTACACTCCTCTCTATCTTTATTGAAGCGAAAGCGTGAATCGCTTTAAAGAGATATGGTGTGTCCTCCTGGCAGAGAAAACGAAAACACTGCTCCTCGACCGTAACACGGTACTTGTTTTCAAATAAGCCACGCTTTTCAACGAGCGAAGAAAACACACATTGTAAAACGCGTTGATCATTTATTTTATCAATAACATTACCAGAGGTTTGATCACGATGAGTTTTAAGAACTAAATCTAAAGTGACGTCACCAAGCGTTAGAGTTCCAACAATTTACTGAATTGGAAACAACTGGTCGTTTGAAGAAACTTGAAACATTCACTCTTATTCGTACAGTTACTCAGTTGATACCTGGGTGATTGAAATATTCCGCTAATTATATAGGCATGTTAGGAAACTTTGATTCTTCATTATCTATGGTTTATGTTAGGTGGTCGGTAAATACTGTGAGTCCAATGGCAGGTAACACACACCAACAATGCACTTTTTTAAAACCTGTACTGCCTGTAACCCACAGAATTTCAAGCACTGAGTCGACTGGAATAAAAGACGATGGAATAGAGTTCCTGATGTAATTCATAATCGCTCGTCCCCTAGAGTCAGATCAATCATTCCTATAACCCTTTCCAGCGCTTACCACACAGGCGAAAAATGCTGAGTTACTGGGCTCTGGATCCGTGCGCAGCGTCTGATATTTCGAGGAAATACGAAAGGTAGCAGGCGAATGAATAATAACGACAGCAAGAGGTAGCTGACCATTCATTTGAACCGTGTACGTTCTAAAACGGCTGCCTATTAGCGGTGTTGACAACGTCACCGCTTATAGCGTCATACTAGTGATAATGGTCCACAAAACTGCGGATCATTGTCGCTCACTACCTTCGCCGGTATTCAATGGCGGGCATATATTCTCTTCAGGCGATCGATGACGGCCTTTGCTTTTGTTGATGATATGTACGCGATAAATGTATAGCGAGAGCAGTAAACAACTGTGATGCTCTGAGGGTGCTAAAGGAGGAGAAAATTCGGGGGCACGAAAAAGCAAATCACGAGCAGGCAGATATTCGGCTGTAACCCGAACAAGCGACCGGTTGTGTTCCGGGACGCTCCGAGCGCGCACCGGCGGGTTGAACCACTCATCCGGCGGTGCCCAATTTCTACTACTGCACCCACAATTTCAACCGTGAACTGGCAAGAGCCAAAAGTGACCACCTTCGACGGTGATCTTGCCAGGCGTACAAGCGGCGGCATTCGGCGAACTTGGTAAAGCACTCCGTCTTAGTAAAGACTGATCTTCGGCTGCGATCCAAAAGCACAAGACCAAGGACGACCAAGACAACCAATACAAAGGTCGAATTCAAAGCTAACATCAACGAGACTCACTTTGAGATGAACAACATTATTGTAATTGTACATTTGCAAATTTTTGGTCTAAATTTTCCTTTCTTTATATACTTTCTTTTAATACTTCGACGGTGCGTCCCGCTTCCTGATTTGTTGATCTGACCATACCCAAACACTACAAACAACACACAGCAAATACTTCTTGCCCCGTAGCTGGAACAAATCCAGCCCCTCCCTTTGCCATGGCAAGGAAGGCGCCACGAATGGCGTGAAAGGTTCGGCATTTTGTTCGCGACTCTTCGAGTACACTGAACAGCTATTGACCAATCTCGTCAGCTCAGAGGACAAGCCTGGCCGCCAGAGAGCCTCTTTTCCACGTTGCCTGCAGCGTCCTATTCCTTCGTGTCCCTCGTGAAGTCGGTTCAGCATTTTTGTCGAAGGGAACTGCGGATGACTAGGCGACTTCTATAAAGCAAAAGCCATTCGCAATGAGACAGGTTTCGCCTCTACTGCCAAAAATCTGACAAGTTGACAGGATGTCTTGGTTTCGCCGGCCATCGGTTCTTGGAATACTCCAGTAGTAGCTGGCAAACTTTGTCTATCCCTTGGGCTTCTTTCACTCGATCAAGAGTGCAGCTTCGGAGCCCCATCATTGCTCCAACTCTGAAAAATTGGAGTTGAGCGCTGCTCAGCATCACCGCAGGCTCCTCCTCGTTCACTGGTGCGATCACCCCCCCCCCCCCCCCCCCCCCCCCCCCCCGCGGAACTTTGTCGCCTCTCCTATCAAATTTTATCGCCTTCTTTTTCTGGCGCTTAGAGCCGCATCGTGTTTGACTAGCCGGCTGCATATATTCGTTGTTTTTTTCTGCGCATTCCTTTGCAACGGAACACTGGATGGCTACAAAATTAAAGTTCCCTTGATAACTCTGATAAACCCGGGAAGCACAAAATGCATCGTGTGGGCATTATACGTACGTCATTAAGTCGTGGTCCTTGAATTCGTCGTGCCCTTGTATTGCAAAGACTTCCTTGTAGTAAATGTAATAATAGCGAGGGGAGGCAGTTCATCGCGCCCTTTTCGCTATATATTGACTGCTGTTTAAAGTTGTGATGTCAAACGCGGTTGCGCTATCCATTTATGCGTTACGATCCACCTTGTGATGTGGTACGTCCAGGTGGGGAGCTAGGTTCTGTCATCCGTGGGTCAGCAATGGGCGACAACGGTCACCGGAGGACTGAGTATGCTGGACTAGGCGTGACTGGCCGATGACGATCGCCTACTTGCTAAGTATGATGGACACCGCGGACAGTCGCATGCTACGCCAGGTGACCGTTCACTGCTAGTCATACCTAGTCCAGCTACTTGCGCTCTCTTTCACCTGGTCTTTGTAGCGACGCTTTGATAGTGCTGCACTGATCGCGAATCAACATACAGCGTATGCACCGTGTTTTTGAAGTTTTTATTTGATGCTCTGTTTGGAAGCGTATGAGCCACACTAATCTTTTTCGTTCGGTCAAAGTCGGTGGTTTTGGCCTGTCTCATTTGTTTGCGCGGCAGTTGGTCAGTAGATTTATTTTCCTTCGCAACCAAAACGACCCGTTTTGGCGAACCGTCATTCTTGGTTTTATTGTTTCATCGAGCGATGACATCAGTGCCTGTGGGCGGTTTTTTTTTTAAGTTGTTGGTGCGTATTGTGTTTTAGTCACACGGTTCGCGCTTGAGTAATTGTCTCATGCGTCACGAAAGGACTAACAATATATTCAAATGATTTAATTTTCAGGATCGTTTTTGTACAGTTCAGGCGCAAGTCAGCATGTATTAAAGAGAGTTAAAAGAATGATTGTGTCCCAGAGCACAAAATCGTTTTTTTTATCAAGCTGCATAGCCAGCTACTCCTAGTCAAAACCTCGTTGGTTTAAAAAGGCATACCAGTGGCATGACCTGACAACTGCATCCATTGCGAAAAACGGAAGACTCTTGAACACGTGTTTCAAGACTGTTGGGGCGCGGTCTTTTTTTGGGACGTCCTTCAAGGGACGTTCAAAAAAGACCTTCCACATGACATACTTTTTAACTGTCATGATAATTCTTACGACAAAATTCTGCTGCTGGGACTGCTCAGCGTGTGGTGGTGCCGCATGGCTGTGCGACATGCCGACATTGGCGTGCGTTTTGTTCTTAAATATTTGGTAGAACAAGTATTTTTTTAGGAAATTGTTAAAGACACAGCAATTCCACCCTGATTAATTGCCTCTTCTTGATGAGCTATTTTCTGCCCTAAATGAGTTCTAGCATTTCCCGACATCAGCCAAGCTGGCTGGGGCCCTTTAGTGTCTTATGTGTGTGTGTGTGTTCTTTTTGTATTTTTGTCTTACATTATGTAATAAAGAAAAAAATATGTCCTTGTAGCGCCGGATTTCACTTCCGGCTGCCGCGCAGTGCGAACGTGTGACAATGTGCTCCGTTGGAGCGGCGAAAACGGCCGTGTCGGTTTTTCACAAAATGCGCCGAAAGACAAGGACAGAGTAAGTGACACAACACAAATTACTCTGTCCTTGTCTTGCGGCGCATTTTGTGAAAAATTAGTCATGTACCAACCGGCCCATCTGTCAGTATTGAGGCCGTGTCGGGCCGCGGCCGTTTCGGGCTGTTAACGTTACCCAGGAATATCGCGTTGTCCTGCCCACGCTGCTATCAGGTACTGTCGCCTTGAACTTTGTATTTTCGCATTGCGATGTCTCAGGGCCACCATACAAAATCAACGATTTCCGAGAAGAACTGCAGAGGTTGAGGGTACTTACTGACGTCCTTGCGATAGGGGCTTACCGAATGAATCATGTATGGCTGGTAACACTGCGCTCATCTGCGGCCAAGCGGCTCTTGGTGAAAGCCAGTAAGCTGAAAGTGAAGAGCAGTGTTGTATGAAACGGCGTTCCAAGGAACGGCGTTCCTGGAACGCGTTCCTTTTAGGAGGAACGAAGGAACGCCGCCGTTCCATTTTGTATCGCTGGAACTGGAACGGGAACGCGTTACATTTTTACTGGAACGGAAAGAGTAACGGCGTTCCTTTTTAGTCCAGTGGGGTAATTTTTATTTTGTTTTTAACAGGGAAAGTATGAAAGTTCAAAAACAATATCTTTACGAAGTGCAGGATCTATTTAACTTTTTGGCTACTAATCTTATGGATTATTTTGTGTGGTCCTCGCTTGCTAACAGTTTCAGGTGCAGGAGAGCTGGTGGGCATTGATATTTTTTTGAGTGCCGGAAACTGCGGTACAAAAAGCAAAACTTTTAGTCGTAGGAAAAGACAAAAAAAAAAGGTTGTTTCAAACTCAGCTAATTTCTTTGGTTCCACAAATCCTCATACACCCAGAGATCTTATTCCGACTACAGCCGTTTTTAAACTTCAATAACGAGACCTACAATTACAACAAGGTCACAGATTGCCAGATATCGGACTCGCGCTTGTATCCCGAACATTATTCACTTAAAAGATGCACAAAAAATAATCCTTATTCCTTCTCTTGTCCCCCACCTTCAAACTGAACAACAAATCCAAGCTTCACATTGAAGTATTTGTAGCTTTCAAGACTGACTTTCCAAAAGCCCTACCCTCTCCTTTACTTGCTCGTCTAGCGGACAGCAACATCGAGAAGCAACTGTTGTTAAGTTCTAACATGGGACTCTGTTAAATTGAAGCGTGTGAGGTTGTTGTAAAACGCTCGTGCAATCTTGGGTAAAAGTACATTTGGCTCGTCTGAATTGTCCACTACAAACATGGACATGGTTAATAGCTGAGATTTTTAACATGAATATATCAACAAATGAAACCCTACTTCCGCGTGTTTTCTACTCCTGGTGCCATCCCATCACGACATACGAACTCGTATGTTGACTACTAATGGGATAGATAAAAAAAAAAAAACTCTGCTTGATATAAATAATATGGTAATTAACAAAAAATACAAATGTAACGTATATGTAACGATGCGTTCCATTTCTTTAGCTGTAACGGGAACGAGTTTCTTTTCCACATATGGAACTTGTAACGGGAACGCGTTCCAAAAATCAGAAGGAACGAGGAACGAGCTTTCGTTTATTTTTTTGAGGAACGTGTACAACACTGGTGAAGAGGAAGCAATGTCTGGTGATTGATTCAGACAGACAAGACGTTCGACTAAAGTTACTTTGGGTGCCTTTCCACGTGACTGGCAAGGCTGTACGAAAGGCGTTTGAACCTTTTGGAAAGTGAGTGAAGTCACAAGGGAAGCCTGGCACACAGAACTTCGAGGAGTGCAAACGAACACAAGGACGGTGACATTGTCGCTGAAGGAAGGAGTCACCAGCGAAAAACTGCCCCACCAGTTACGTGTGCTTAGAGCTAACACGTTGGTAGTCGTCCCTGGAAGGCCCCCTTTGTGTCTACGCTGTAAGAGGACAGGGCATATACGAAAGGACTGCCGTGTTCCGTGCTGCAACGCGTGCCGTGGATTTGGGAACGTGGACGAAGATTGCCCGCGGACCTATGCGGCAGCTGTGCGGACTGCGGCGTCGGAAGCTACATCGGATATAGAAATTCACGAGGCAGAGCTAGAGACGGCAGCTGGAAACGATGCAGTGGTTCCCACAGAAAGCCAAGCGGTCACCGGGCAACGGCCGGAACTTCTAAGCCAAGCGTTCGACGTGACGCCCGACCCCAGGCTTGGCCCCACAGCTTTTGTGGCTGCAGTAAACGATGCCACAGTAGACGTCGAGACGCCTGGAAAGGACGATATGGCAAGACAGCAGCCAACAACGACTAGCGACCCACCTTAGCAAAGCGACACGGAGACGGACCAAGTTCTGGAACGTCTGGACTCGCCCTATGACCAAACCCAACGCCGTACCACCCAGCAGTGTTAGACTTTTGGCATTAAATCAAGCCCATAAGCACATTCTCTGTTAAAAGGGTCCACAGAGAGGAAAAAATGACTCAAGTGAGCGAAAGGAAACTGACAACAGAAAAAAAAATCACATGCACGTTTGACGTTAAGGTTATATATAAAGTTTAGACATAAAAGTATAAATTACATAAAAATGCTAAAAGTGAAACAAAGAAATAGTTAAACTTCCGCTTTACAAGACAATTTCAGGAATTGATTCTCTTTTTGCAGCACGAGTGTGCAGGTTGGCAATCGAGATTCTGTAAACAAAAATAGAGACGTGTTAAAAATAACAATATAACAAAAATCAAGCGAGTTTAGCATGGGTAATAATGTTGTTTCATAGACTTATTTATCTGGATACTTTGTTTTTGTATAAGCTTGTTAATGAAATTGTAGCCTGACCTGCCTCGTAGAGCTCCGTCTATTTTCATGTCCCACCGCGTACTAGTTGTACTCACATATTTCAGTACCTACATGCGCTATTTACCACTTCCACTCGAATAGTTTTAAGAACGCAACTTAAATTTAACCAGTTTTATTGTCCCTACTGAAAAATATTTTTGATGGAACAGCATGTCGTTGTAATCTTTATGGTGCATTACCTGCGTTGGTGAATATCTGTTTTTGTTTCTTTTTTAGAGTTGTGTTATATTTGTTGTGTACCACAGGGAGAAGGCGTTCAGTTGTTAACGAAGATATTATTGTAAAACTTAGTATTATTCTAAGGGTCAATTTTCAGCATTTCAGCTTACTATACAGTTTCACAGAGACCAATCGACGAAGAGGACTCTCTCCCTTATTCTGTTTAAAACGACTCTAAAAATATTGGGTCCCATTACATTTAACTTAAATTAATATTATTCTTTATTATATTGAAACAGTATTATGCAGTTATATTATATACTTATATAAGGATTTGGTTTCCATGTGCAATAGCCGGGATATGCACCAGGTTGCACTTACTCCTGCACAAGTGGAACTGAAGGAGAAAACAGCGTCCAGACAAACGATTATAGAAATGCTACTGTGTGCGTTGTAAGTAAACCTAAACATTTTAACACCTTGTTTCCAAGTGTTCTTTTTTTATTTGTAACTTTTAACTAGAACCTTTCACTTTAACTCTGTTTTTACGCTTTCAAAAATTTTAGAATAATTTGAAGAGATCCTAAAAACCTTTTTTAGAAGCTTCATTGTGTTTTTAGAATATTTTATCAACAAGGAAGCTCCCTCCGTGTTGAAGCTCAATACATGACTTGGCTCGCAATTTCTTGCAGCTGAGCGTTTTTTTGAGCTCGAAGTATTTTAATTCAGCTCTATCAAATAAACCCGAATCAAAACTAATCTGACTAGGCCCAACAAACAATAAACGTTTTCAGCAACCAGAAATAATAAGATTATCTTTAATTGGAAATTACATTTTTAATCAATCTTGCGGTAGCTGACTGTTCGGGTAGGTGCCGATTGTAAAAAAATATCGAACTTCAACATTTTTTATCCTTGTTCCTCTAAAGAAAGAAATATCTGTAACACCCAGCTCTAATAAAAACCGACAAGGTTATCGGGTTTTTAAAAACGTTTGCCCAGACGGTCGAAATTTTTTTTTTTTTTTTGCGCTGCGGGTTAATCTTTATTTAGCACTATAGATGCGTTACTGGCAATAACGGAATGTATTGCATCAACGATTTTATCGAATTGCTTAAAGGGATTTCTGTCGAGAGGAATTACGGTATGTTGTAAAAAATCAAAGTAGCACTTCGGACCGTTGCCGTATACATGACGCTTGCTGTACGAATTCAATCTGGAACTTTAGATGTCGCGAAGTAAACGAGAATCAAATGTTTGAATCTTATTTGTAGTAAGCAAACTTAAAATACTATTTTCTGCCGGCAGGAGTTTGAAGACAATGATGACACGAAGCTGGATCACGTTGGGATCTGCTTGAGCGGAGTTTGTCGGGGACACAGGGAACGATGTCCAGGCTGTACCGAATGTAAGTATGATTGGCATTTAAACATAATAGTTAAGGATCAGTAATGCGTGCATAAATGTTTTACACTTGACTTTTTTTTTTTAAGTGTTGCTACCAATTTTCTTACCAATGCCCCAACCAGGCAGGCCCGGTACGTTCACGGTTAGAGTTATCGATCTGTTTATTCGGGATCGCCTTTGAAATTTTATATGGCCTGCCTATATAACTAACTATAATATTGTGGTCTGCGAAGAACGAGGTTCAATTATTACGCTGAAATTCGATCAAATGTCACCTTAACCTTAATTAAGCTAAGTTTCTCTTGACCGGAATCATCAAAATCTCATAAAATTGTGAGCCATTCCGCTCTGTGAAGGTGGTTGGCCAACGAAGCTGTAGAGCACCACCACATATGATTCACCAAGAGACACACACAAGCACTTCACCAAATGTTTATTTACAGTATATATACTTCATTTTGAAAGGGTAGTGATCATGGCTTTGTGATCACTATAATATACTCTAATCGGTTGCATTACAACTTTGGTGAGATTCTTTGCTAAAGTTAAATCTCCTTCACGCTAGGCTTGTTATGTTTGTCTTTTTTAAGGAAATGTCTTTCCAGCTATATAACAGACATTTTCCAAACAATTTTTGGCGCATGCGTGCCATTTTCTGAAACCGCGGCGAGAGCTCTAATTACTGTCTGTTTACGGAAGTAGAAGTGGCAGATGCAGATGCTGCATGACGAGATGCGCTACCTCTCCTCTCTCCTCCGCGTTGAGAGCGTTAAGACATTTCTTTGAATAGGGAGTTTTCGAAGATTGTTTTTGCCGTTCCGCAGCGCTCTCCGCAATCCGCTACGACATCCGGGTTTCTTCAGTCAAGACTAGCGGCGCGCATGCGCAGTAGCGGTCTCTTCATTGTGGATAGCTAAACGGTGGGAGGAAAGCGGTTTACGAAAACTCCCTAATGAGTAGTTCGTTGTTGTGTGCAACGTAAATAGTTTTCTCCTAAAGCTATGCTAGCCCTATAGCATGCTACAGACGTTTAGACACAAACCCGATACAAGAGTCGAGACCTGGTATTATAGCCAAACGATGTGTCGACAGTACGTTTTCCTTTGCGTTGCTTTGATAGCAAATTTGCCATTCTGTTCGGAGAGAAAGCGTATAAAGAGGCTGAAAACTGGCATAAAAAGATTTCTTAATATTTATTTCACTAGCTGTTTTTTTTTCTTAACGGTATGGTAAAACGAGAAGGTACTGCCGGCTCGTAGGTTGGGTTTGTCCCGGGCTGCGAATGAATGCTGCAAACCGCCGCCCGTTTAGAAGGGTTCCATCGTATGCATTCGTCCATTTATTCCTCTGCCCCCTTTTCCCCTATACTCCGCGCTGCACTATGCTGAGAGAGCATTAGAAGCTGTCAATCAATCGTCTGGTTGCATCGCCTGACCGCACTTCATGCGCTCGAGTATGCGCACAAAGCGTAATTACGTGCTGCAAATCCGAACCGCTACTGGTCCAACGAACACGTAGCACCTACCTCACTATCAGATTAGCGGTTGGAAGGAGTATGAGAGTAATGTTTCTTGTGACCGCTTGGCATCGACATTATCCAAAAATGGGGCAATTGAAGGTTCTTCATTCGTCATGCTCAATATAAACCAAACCTGATACTTTGTATGATGAAAACTCGCGCAACTTACAACACTTGTGATATTTTGTATATTCGCATCATGACAGCCGAACTTCAACAGAGATGGAGCCAACTTCCTGAGCTAGCCGCCGAGTTTCATCGATGCCCTGATCTCAGCGAAGTGAGTTTACAAAAATAATTATACTTTATGAACGTAAAATTGGCACTAATTGGGTCGAAATATTTTTCAATTCTACACTAACTCCTCCGACGTTTGCATTAAGTTGTCTGAGCACCTCAGCAGACTGACAAGTTTTCTAGCAACATGTATAATATGCAGTGAATAGGCAAATCAGTAATTTTCGTTGTTCTTTCACAAAAAATTTTTCTTCCTAACCATGATGTGTCTAGGCTATTGATATCACAATTGAAACGCTATCTCTTATGTTATCAAGAGTGATTGGTGGTGCTTTATTATTTTAATTCTTCAGAGCGATCCCGTGGAAAATTGCCTCTATGTCTGCAAGGCCAATCATGATAATGGGAAGGAAGTATATTTCTACGGGATCTACAAGGATGACAATCCTTGCAAAGTGAGTACCAACAAACACGTGCCCGTGAGTTGCGCGACAGAAAAGTCCCAATCTTTGATTGACATGCAGTTGAACTGGATTGTTTAAAAATTTGTTCACTCATCTTATTTTTAACGCAGCTGCTAATATTTTTTAACTCTTGAACACAAACGATATAACGTGCAATCTTATCCCATAATTGTTATAAATACTCGGCTGCAAACAAATTACTCACGCATACAAAGCACACTTCGACCGCGCTAAACCCAATTGCAAGCTTTAGATAAAAAAAAAAAACAAAAAAAAAAAACAAAGAAAAACATGATTATCCGCTTTCTCATGACCAATCTACAAACTTTCTGGCACCAATTGGAGTTTCCCGAAAACATTACTTCTGCGTTTTCAACGTTTGGCGTGTTAATAAAATTAAAAAGTAGTAGTCTGGAATGCAAGCATAACCCTGTATTCCAAAGGGCTATATGGATGCAAAATTTTTTAACCTTTACACGTACACAAATATTTTTTTTTTGTATGGGCTAAAACGACCATAATTAATACATTCGCTTTATGCGAATATGAGAATATTTGTTCCTCATCAGTCGACTTTTTTTTTTTTCAGCCGGCAGACGGCGACGAGGGCACCTGCAGAAGTGGATGGTGTTATAAAAAATAAGTTATAAACCCGCATTACACAAGGAACCACGGGAATCGCCGCTCCACGAAGGTGTGTCTCAATAAATAAATCTCTGGTTCTGAACTGTTTTGGCTCTTAATGTTTACGAGGGTTTTCTGAATATACAACCTTCTGCTGCTAATATTTCATTTAACTGAAGGTCCCGCAAATGTTACACTTCAAGATATGTCGCTGTTTTATGTAATATAAAAAAAAAACGGAGCCAAGGTCACCCTTACAGAACCCCAAAACAGGAGAAAAACGAAAAAAAAAAAGAATAACACAACGACGTCTTAGAACATGGCAGCCTGTGATGTCCCGGGGGTTTATAAGTGTTACCGGTCGCCAGATGGCTTCCGCTATAAACTCTTACTTTTGAGTCAGGAGTCAGATTTTTTTCCTTGCACATGCAAGGCTGCCGCGCGCACTGAGCGCCCGTGCGAACATAATTTATTTTTCAAATGCCTTAAATTGACCCATTAAATACGTTCAATGGACACTGAATATCACCAATATTAAAAAAAAAAAGATATTTTGCCAGGCGATTTAATATAGTGTCAGAAGACTACCAAATCAATAACTTTCTACACAGCCACGAATATTTTTAATAAAAAAAAAGCGCAACTGCTCGAATCTGAAGCCGAAACATGACCACGGGGCTAAACGCCGCGAGATGTAGACTACGGACGAGGGAGATACCAAGAGCGGGAGAGAGTTGCCGGAAGTCGCGTATCTACACCCGACCGCATTTTTAGAGCGCAGCTCTTACGCGCCCGATTCCAGCTTCAGCGGCGTTGCTGTCGGCGTAACCGCGCGATGCATTATGGATAAGTTTCGCCACTAAATTTAGCGGAGAATTTTCCCTACTAGATTTAGCTAAAAAAAGTCCCCGCTAAATTAAAAATTTTCCCGCTAAATTTAGCGGAAAGCTTTCTCCGCTAAATTTAGCGGAAAAATTTCCCCGCTTAATTTAGCAGAAAATTTTCCCCGCTAAATTTAACGGAAAAAATTTCCCGCTAAATTTAGAGGAACAAAATTTCCGGCTAAATTTAGCGGAAGAAATTCCCCGCTAAATTTAGCGGAAAGAACAAATTCATGCCAAATTTACCGGAAAAAGTTTCCCTAGATTCGGCGGGAAACTTTCCCGCTAAATTTATCGGAAAAAATTCTTAGCTAAATTTATCGGGAAAAATTCCCCGCTAAATAAAGGTGGAAATTTTCTTGCTAAATTTAGCGTAAAATTTTGCCGCTAAATTTAGCTGGAAAAGCTCTCCGCCAAATTTAGCAGAAAATTTTCCCCTAAATGGGATGCGAGCAGAAGGGGAGGAGGGGCGTGGCCTCCTCCCCGTACCCTACCCCTCCTCCTCCTCAAGAGCTGCGCTCTAATTCGGCGTTACAGGGGACCGTAAGCGTCTTCCATTTTTTGTTCCCTTCTTTTCTTCCGGCAGTGCGAAGCAGACGAAAGACGCTCGAACGTCACGAAATTATGCAATCGGTCAGTGTGGTTCTTCCTCGTCGTGCAGTCACGCTTCAAAACAGTGATTCGGGGCAAGGGTTAGTAGTTCACAAACAATAAAATGTTGGGGGATGACGAGTGCAGAACAGTATTTATTTTCTCTGAAAAGTTACACAAATGTTGATGGCAGGTTTTGCCGGGGTCGTGCAGGTTTTGCCCGGGGTCGTGCCAAGCGACTCCGGTGATTCCGGTGGGATGCTTCGATAAACTCTATGCACTCATATTCGACAGCGACCTCTTTCTTACAGATGCCCAGTGTGTTATCATCATAGTAGACTTCCATGGCGGCTCAAGAAATTGACACCGAAGAGAGCGGACGGCGCCTAAATCACGCAATGTACGCGTTCGAAATTGTAGCAAACCTTACGGAGCTCATACAAAAAACACAGAATTCAGTTCTATTTTCATCGCGCAATGCTACTATTTTTTACAAGCTGAGATACTCCAGTTTAAAATTTATGGCCGGCTGAACAGTTCAAATGTTTCACTGGGTCTGCCGTTCCTGTACATTCGACGTCGCTTGTTATTTCGATTGGAAGCGGCTGCCGGTGCGTACGACTAGCACTTGATCATATATAGCACACACATTAAATCATCCCCAATTCTAACTAACTTAACATTTGGAGCGTCATCAAGCTTCCAGCTTTTGCTGGCGCTCCACCACCACCGGCTCGTTAATCCTATGGGTCTAACGAACCTCGGGAGTAGCGCATGCTCGGAGCACTCCACGTACACGCACACACTCGCCCAATTGAGCGCACGAACGTAAAATATGCGCACCAACACGGGGACGCGAGAACAACACACGATATATGGCAAAAACGGCACGTTGAGGTCGCAGAAAAGAGCGTCTCGCACACTCCGAGTGGCTCCGATTCCCTGAAGGGGGCGCTAGCGCGAGGGCTTCTGGGGATAGCCACCGCCAGAGTGTCGAACCGATATTTTTATTGGTTCGGTTCGGGTTCGGGTTCACGGCTTTCGGTTCAGTTCCGGTTCAGTTCCGGGGCGCAAAAAATAACGGTTCAAACCGGTTCGAACCGGTTTGCACCGCTAAATTGAGAATATATTTTCCGCGTTGTTCTGTCAATAGGCGCTATTTAGGCCGTGAAACTAACTGCTGTAAACGATCTGATTTTTGCGAGGACCTATTTTTGAGAATTTCGCGAATCGCCTACAATTCGCGAAAAATGGGTCCCGCGAACAATTTCGGTAAAATGTAAACAGATTGAAATTTATATTGAGATTCCACCGCGTCGAGAAAATTACAACCCGCGAATTATTCCAAAACTTCAGCTTTGACCTAAATCGCGAAATATTGAACCCACGAAAAATAGTCGTTTACAGTATATAGTTTTTTTTTATTGTTTGTTCAATTCAGTTTTATTCTCAGGTACCAAAATTATAAAATTCTGTTATTTATTCCTACACAACAAGAAAGGAAAATCTACATTAACATACAAAACGTCGTGTTTATACGACTCAACATCCCTTCGTTTACCAGAGTCACATATATTGTACCTGAATCGAAATGTTTTCGGAAGTGAAGTAGGTTGCCTAAAATACCCGTGATTGGTACAACTTTGTATCGCAGTATTAGAAGTTGAATCGTGGTTTTGCCCTTGAACTAAGGAATTAATTACAGTGAATACAATCATGTAATGGGCACCTCGTCGCGATATATATCATGAAATGTGTTTTACGGAATACGTTTCACAATATATATATGATGACGAGACGACTGAGCTTAAGGGAATATAATTTTCAAAATGTCACGAAAGTCACGGGACAAGTCCTTCCAGTCTATATTTTATAGGAACACTAAGCGACAATCGCAATGCTTGTTTTTCTAACTAGCATTGTTTGCTCTCAGCACCATGATGCGGGCGACGAATCATGCGAAAAGGAGTGGCTGAAATTGTTCACTCTAACCTATGAGCACCTTCGTACTGATATCGAATCTCACCTAAAACAGTGCTTACCCATGTGAACATTTTCTTATATTGGATAAACTGGCATAGCCTTGATGTTGAGGTTTGCTCTTGACAAAATGCAGGTCAATTTAATTTGCAAATAAGCATCACCCTCGCTAATTGATGATTTTTGTTAAATAGAACAAAGTGGTATTTCATGCTCTACTCAATTCGGAAGCTACCTAATTTGACACTTTCTAAAAGTTTCAGTGTGCAATCGTCATAGTTCCACCATTCCTTCCAGTAAAAAAAGGCGATAGTAAAAACACATAAAAAGCGCGATAATAAACTTCTATATATTTGAGAAGTTATATATGCGTGAGGAACACATATAGTTATTTAAATTAGCTTCAAAATAATAATAAAAACCTTATTTAAATCTTTTCGAAATCACCTATAACGTGTCTATAGAGGATAAAAGCGCCGAAAAATATTTGCCGAACATCTTTAAGATAATTTAAAGGCGCATTTACTTATATATCTTGGAGGTGAGAATCTTCTATTTATGCTGCCAAATCTTCAGACAGGAATTAAGTATATTTTTATTATCATCGATATATTTGACTTTATGAAGTTCACATAACCGCCTGAGACCGACACGGAAGGACGATACTCGAATATACGCCAGCTGTTGTGTCTTCGGTAACGTGCTTTTGTTAGCTGTTTTGCAGTGTAAAATAGTGGGTTGCAGGGCATGCCAAAAAACACTGTGGTCACATGATATATCGGAAGGCAAATACACGAAATGTGCAGAAATAGGGAGATGACACGCAATTTTTTCTAAATAATCCCTTACACGACGCTTTACTGCAAAAAGAAATGCATAGAAATGCATAAAATGATATTCCTAATTAAACATAGATTCCGCGCAGGGCAAACAAAGATTTTTTAGAATCCTAATATAAATCACTTTTGGGAATCAGCTTGCCTCAGCTCGAAACGTCGCGGGATACTACCTTGGGAGGCTAATGTTATCTTAGGTTTTACGTGCACTTGTTTTGAGACCTTACTTCATGACTCTGTTCTTTATCAGTCATGTGCTCCAACATTTCATTAGGCTGCCGTATATCATCGCGAGACTACTATAAATACTACACAACTTTACACATTGGACGTCTACTGCTGGTGTTGCGAACGTCGCACTTCACCAGAAAGCTGAAGTATTTAACATGGTTTGCACGTGACGTAATCGCACTAGATACTGGTTGTCATTGCGAGTTGTTCTTGCTGAGAAAATCAAATCCGGTTTGGCAAAATGCACGCTGCAAAAGTTTCGCGCTCAGTGCAAGCTATGTATTTGAGAGGCACACATTTTTCTTGTTGGTACATCGTCGTTAGGCACGGCGCGAGTATCTGGCACGACAAAAACGTGCTTTCTGGCAAGAGTGTTTTTACAAATAAAAGTTGTACCAAATACCCATCTGTCACTATCATTTCCAGGCCACGCTTTCTAGTCTGCGCCGAAAATGTGGGGCAGAGGAATCTTTACGACACAGTATGCTTTAAAACTACCC